TTGAAAGTCAATTTTTTTGTAGTTGTAATGCATGAACATTTTTTTCTCGTTTTTACTTAGCCACTTCTTATAATGAAAAAAAAACAGTTCTAAATCAATGGCATACAATGTTTTTTTAAAAAGTCTAACTTTCTTTGAAACCTACTCCATAATTTTTGTCTCAACTTCATGAACAATTTAGTCATCCACAACATAACATCCCAACATAGCAAACACTTTCATGTGAATGTTTTGGGATGCTGAAATTTTACATTCAGCAAATTCTCCATTGAAGCCCCAACTAATAGTCCGAATACAAATGGAATTCACGTTGGAAGATTAACACAAATGAAAATACTTGACTTAACCGTTCAGACAAGAGATGATTGTATCTCATTAGGTAATGGGAGTAGACAAGTGACTGTTGACTGTTGAGAATGTGACATGCGGACCTCATGGCATCAATGTTAGGAGCCTTGGAAAAATATGAAAATGAAGAACCTATAAAGGTTTAATAGTAAGGAACCACACTTTCACAAACACAGGCAATGAGAATTAACACTTGGCTTGCTACTTCAATAAAAATTATTTTGTATGTTTTGCATTGGTTATATGTCTGTTTGTGCCATAATGCTATAGTTAAGCATGAGAACATGTAAATTACATGTTATTGTCATGAGTATGTGCATACATTTTGCTGTCTAATGTAGTCTTATGCAAGTATATCCAATTTATCAATTAATTAGATTATTCAGCTGCTCAGTTATTCAGTAAAGCATATGCTCAGTTATTCAGTCATCCATATGATCAGTAATCAGTTAATCAGTATGTATATGCTTAATTAGTTAATCAATTAATCATTTAGCAGCTGCTCGGTTATGTGGTTAATCATTTATGTAGCTGCTCAGTTACTCAGTTATTCAGTTATGCAATTACTCAGTTATTCAGTTATGCGCAACAATTAGATAAGATTCAGTTATATGACAGTGAATATGCCTTAGTTGGTTATTTAGTTCAGTTCAATTATTGTAAGATGTTCTCAATAGCTTGTTTTGCATGCCCAGTTCATACCATTCATAATATATTAAATATGATTACTGCTATTGAGATTCTTTGAATCTCACCTCTCTTTTCTATGTAACCATAGGGCCCAATGTTCCAAGGGGAAAGAGAAGCTGGTGGGAGCATAGCTAAGGTGGGAGAGAAGAAGAATTTAGTTAATTTTTTAATCAATGTGAAAACAAATTAATACATTATGTGTTTACATTGCCTTTTGTGATATTTTATGTCTATATTTTCTACTATATGTGAAGCATGTAATTTTTACTATTATGTTTGTACCTCCATAAGGAGGAGTCTTTGAGAGTTTCGTAATATATAAATATATATAATGATATTATACTTGTGATGTGAATGAATTGTTTAATTTATATCTAAAGTATAATAGTTGTGCTTTATTAAAGCTGGATTAGAAAAGCAAGATTTTAAAAGTAAAATTTGTCAATATATAGATATTGCCATCAAATAGATTAAGAGCGAATCCTGGTCTTATTTTATAACATACAACCATCAGGAAAGTAAAGTTATAAGTTTAGTGTAAACCTTCAACCATAATTAATAAAATTCTCTCATCGGGGTCCTTAAAGTAAGATATTACATGTTTTCTATTTTAACGCATATGATTAACAAGAATATTTTAGAAAAGACAACATTCATTTATTACAAATAACTATCTTAACTAATTTTTTAATATTCATAAATTAGTTAACTAACTTTTATATTAAAGATCAGAGACAGTATAAAATAGTAGACAATATGAAATTAAATTAAATGGTAAACAAGCATTTTAAAATGGGTCCATGCATTTCATAATATTTGAAACTTGTTGAATGAAAAATTGTATATGTGATGCAAATGTTGGATATAATATCAGGATATGAATCTAATTTGTATAGTTATCATTTTTGGCATCTCATATATAGGCATGTCATATAGGCATGTCATATATTCTAAGTTTGTCCTACATATTTATAACTATTTCCATTTTCCTTTGTTTTTTTTTTCCTTTCTTCCATTTTGAGCTACTGCGCACTCCATCAAAGGTACAACTAAGTAGAGTTTCCTTCAAGAACATTAGAGGCACATCAACAACAAAGGAAGGAATAATTTAATTATGTAGTAGTAGGGTACCATGTGAAAGGGTAAAACTCAGAAATACTAATCTCAAATTCAATAGCACTCCAACAATTGCTACCTGTAAGAACATCAAGCCCCAGAATCTCTGGAAATACACCAACCTGTACCCTTAGCATGCAATTTACACACTCATTGAATAAAATATAATAATCTAAAGTTATATTGCCCGTTTTCATTTTGTTATTTTCTAGTTTAAAAATTGATGCCCAATTTAATTTTGTCAAATTAAATATAAGATTTTGGCAAATGTCAAACCCCAAATCTCTGGGAAATTACCAACCAGAAAAAGAATGAAAAAATTGAAGTATTGGAATGGATAGAGGGATCAATAAAAGAATAAAATACTCTCAACTCCATGATGTTTGTCTCTGTTACCACGACTTATTATGTATTTTAAAAACTTTCACAAACATACACACACACACATACACACACACTAAATCATTATAAATTTTTTAACTGATAATTTTAAAAAAAATCATTAGGCTAATCTATATATTAGATGAATAAAAAAATTCATAAATTTGACCCTCTAAAGTTCAAGGAATGCATTATTACAATTTTTCTGTTCAGTGGAACTTATTATATATGATAGCCCTGGATAATTTATAATGATATGAATTATTTTAATTATTGCCATATTCTTTCAATTAACTAACACTGAAAAGAAAAAGACAATCATTATTCATAAACCAGTACATATATTACACACGTATTTCATTCCTTACTCATAAATTACCCTTATTTATTCTATACGCAACATGAACCGTACATACCCGCCAGTCATATGCATTATTCATGGACCATATATATGTATATATGTATCTGAAGTGACTCTCTTTAGACTCCATACAAAGTTTAGTAGATGGAGACAATCTAGTTTATTTATAAAACTCAATGACTCCTAAAGCTGCGGAAGGAACACGAGCTGCAATTTTGTAGCTGGAAAAGCCACTAGCTTTACAAAGAGCTTCGAATTCTTTCTCAGTTCGTTCCTTTCCACCAGCTTGCAAGAACATGAGATTGTCAAGAACTGAAACATATTTATGCTCATCGCTTCCATTTGGTATTTCTGGCATTATCAGGTCAATAATAATAAGCTTGCCTTCGTTTTTGAGAGATCTATGGCAGTTTGTTAAAATCTGTATGCAGTTTTCATCTGCCCAGTTATGAGTTATAAACTGCAAGAGATTGAACATATAGCTTATTAGTTATTACCAAAGCCTAGGAATAATAATTGATTACTATGTGAAATTAATTATAGTGTTATTAAACTGACCTTCATCATTATAGCATCACCTTGTGGAACGCTTTTGAACATATCTCCTCCAACATGCTTTATTCCTTTAATATCGCAAAGAAGATTTTATGATAAGCTCAAATTAAAATATGCCGCATTATGCATGATTTTTGAAAGTTATATAATTTAGTTGATTAATTAGTAGCATCAAAGTTTTGACGGGAAAAAATTGAATCCAACTCAATATATACTAAATTCTATATGCAATTTCTTAAATTCTAAATTCCATAAGATCACACTTTAGTTTTAGGCTATATGTATACCTTTCATCTATTTTTTATTGTTTTCATTTCGAATTTCAAATATGAAATTCCCATCCTCTTTCTGTACTTTTATTTAAACTTTTCTATACTTTAATCATGCACTATTCTAATATTATTTGCAACACACAGGTAAAAAAAATCTAGTTAAACTTTAAAGAAAAGGTTAAAAAAAAAATTACATCTACAAGTTACCTGGATGGGATAGGCCATGTTGTACGACGGATGGTAAGTCAAAGTTAATGCCCTGAATTGAAGGATACTTGGAGACGATCATTCTAAGGCTTTGGCCATGGCACCACCACATCAACAAGTGTTGATATTCCCTCAAATCCTTTATATGTCTCAAGTACATCCTTCATCTGTATGATCGATAAATCAGCCATTGCCCCATGAAAAGTAGTTTTGAACGTTGGATCCATTTCCATATATTCGTAAATAGACATCTCATTAACTGTCTTGAAAAGGTCCTCTTCCTCATCAAGAATCACTTGCTTGAAGTTTTGCCTAGAATCATAAAAGTTAAAAATAGGTCTTTTGTATATGATCAAATAATAAATAAACAAAAGGTGGTGATTATGTACCAAAACATGCAATACTTACCAAATCTTTATGAAAGTGGGATGATTACATAATTTGAAGAGTCTAACGTAAGAAGTTTCATCTTCATTGGTGATTAAGTATTTACCACCAGGAGATAGACCATAAAGCCTCTCAATCTTACCATGTTGATCAAGTTTATTGGAAGAACAAGTCAAGAAAGAGTAATTAGAAAGCAAAAACAACATTCGGTCTAGCCGATGAGCCATGCCGGCATGTGGAGTCCCTAGCTTGGAAGCGATTTCGGAGGCAGACATGCCCTTAGGGCTTCCCTTACCAATAATCTCAAACAAGTTCAGCTCAATAGCAGCATTTAACACTGCAAGGTAAACATGATCAGTAGACAACATCATAGGATTAAAAGAACAAACAGAAGCATGTTCCTGATTCTCATTGTTGGCATCCATCTATAATTGCTAGATTCTTTTTGTTGTAGACTCTGTAGTAGCTATGGAGGATGATAGGGCAAACTTTTATATCTAAAAGTTCTCACTACGTGAACCAATAATGAAATTAACTATTTATAAATTTACTATAAAAATGTAGTTTAAATTTGACCATTGGCAGTTGAAATCTTTTGAGATATTAAATGTTAAGAAGAGAGGCATTTATAGGTCAAATTTATTTGAATGAAAAATAAACAATGGATGAACTTGACATTTGAAAAAATGTGTAACTTATATTTCTTCTATCAAGAGGATAACTGTTAGAAATATCCGCCTATATATATTTATTATATGTAACATATATTTTTTTATAAAAAGTCACTCTCTTGATAATTTATTAATTTTAATCACGTATAGCTTCTAATTATAAAAGAATTCACTGACCGGTAGGCACGTACATGACCTGAATGAGTGTGTAACTATTCATATACATACTCCCTTAGCTTTGGTGCTAGTTGGGATGGGATGTGGAATCAGTTAGGACTTACATCATACTTAAAATTTAATATATAAGAAAGTGGAGCAATTCTGGAATTATCAAAATAATTTCTGTCAGAATCAACCTTCTCAACCGGCAAAATTGTAATAACGGCAATGCATTGCTGAACTTGAAAGAGTCAAATGTACATATTTTATGATGGCATGCTACCTTCTTCCACTATTAATGTAAGAGTTAGATAAATAATTTATGAATATTAAAAAAGTTAGTTAAATTAGTTATTTATAATAAATAAGTGTTATCTTTTCTAAAATACCTATTAGTCATGCGCTTCGTACAAAAAAATTTTGACATGTGCAATCACCATGAAAATTACTTTTAAAAAAACGAATACATGTTGGACACAAAGTGGATAAGATCTTATATTTAGGATTAAATTAAATATTCAACTAGCTCTTACACTTAGAACAGACATAGTAAAATTTATGAAATATATCATCGTGAATGTGACATAAAATGATAATAATCTATTTCTCAAAATTAAATCTATTACTGTCCATTTAATATTCATAAAGTCATACTGTGACATCAATATAAAATATATTATTTGACATTATCTATTTCTTATCAATTGACTAATTGAGTTTTTAAAATTCATAATATATCCTTTTTAGCTATATGTTTTTTCATGTTAGTACTTAACCCCTATCGTTAGTCCTGAAATTTTTTTTCCAAATAAAAAAATAGAACTTCAGGCGAATGTAAAGATTGAGGTGAAATTCACGGTTTTAAGAAGGTTTTAATATATCCCATATAAACACTTACAAAAAGTTTTTTTTTACGTAAACTAAAAAAAAACTTCTCCCACGTATTTATTTCAAACTTTATAAATCACTTCTGAAAAGCTAATCTAAACACTTTGTTAAGTTTTGTGCGTGATAATATCAAATTACTAGTCTTGGATATCAAACAAAAGGTATATCTGGCTGAAGGGTGTGTTCGGCACAGCATTTGCAGGTAAACCGCACCTAACTCTCAAAAGGCACCTTAAAGGTTCAAGGCTTGTTTGGATTGGTAATGTCATGGAATGGCTTTTTTTTTAAACCAAAAAATGCGGGGAACCACTAGTTGTACCTTCCAACACGAAAGGCTTACAGCTGGAGTCTTTGACCGTATTAAAAAATTATATGATTAGAAAATAAATAATTTTTCTTGAATTATAGTTTTTCGCCTTTTGTATTGGGAAGTTGTGACCAAAAACCACAAAATAATTATAATACAATGCAATCCAAATTGACCCATTTTTTGCCGCATCGTGTGTGTGTGGGGTGTGAATTTGAGGATGTTTATCAAACTCAGAAGTCCCAGGTTAAACATAAGATTTTTGAAGTAATGTCTGTAATATAGAGTATTTAAATTTATGTATTAGATAGGTCCTAATGACACTGCCTTCCATTCTAATTGTAAGAGCTTATTTCCTATTTCATACATATTAAGAAAAAGGGATAAGCCAGTTAATTATTGTATTTACTTTGTTAACAATTTTTGATACATTTTCAAAAATGGCCCTCCTGATTTAACTTTTAATGATTGAGATTTGAATTGAATTATGAAACTTTAAAAAAATTACACAATAAATAGAGATAATTTAGGAAAAAATTAATTGATGGGATATATTTTAAAAAAAAATTAGAATCGTTTCCAATTAACTGGCAATCAAAATATGCAACAAAAAATATATATTAATAGTTTTCCGTCCTGATCATTCAGGTGTGTCATCCTAAAAGAACATTATTAAAATTTGAAGTTTTACGTTCTATTAATAAATTATCAAGAATGTGACATTTTCTAAATTTATATTACAGATAATACTCACACAATAATAGTTTGATATTTCTACGGTTCTACCAGATATCTGCTTCATGCCCAATAGAAGAATTATAAATTATGTAAAACTAATTTGAAGGTGGTATATTTTGTTTTAGTTTTGAATTAGATCCTTGAGGTTTTTTTTTCCTTTTTATTGGATGCTTTAATTTTGTGCTGCTAGATCCGTTAATTCCAGCTGTTAAATAAAGATAAATACTGTTAAATTGATGCAAAAATAATATCAAAACAAAAAATTGATTTTTAATAATTTCAGTTTCATAGCTTATCATTGTATTTATCAGTACAATGATAAATTATATACCCTGAGGATATATATATATATATATATATATTCTCAACGCTTATTTGGTCACTGACTGTTAAAAAAAATAAATAAAATTATCATTGCTGGTAAATTAATATGTCATATTGCAGTTATATCATGTATTGATACTCCAAAAAGATTTGATGTATAAAGATATTTCTTATAATTTTTTTTGGTAAAATCTGAAAACAAAATTATATTGAAAATGAAACTGGACTTTTCCTAAATGTATATTTTGTTTCCAAATCTAATAAGAATTTATTTTTGAGAAACTGGACAATGGAAAGTGGGCTAGCCCACTTGGCCCACTAGAGTTGATGAAGTCTAAATTAACTCAACTTACCCAATTTTTTTTGCTGGGCCCATAGTGGGTCGGTTCCACTTCCCAGCTATATGACCAAGCCCAAATAAATCAGACTGCTAAAATTGTTTCTCCCTTCAGTAGGGAATTAAATCAACAAAGCTGGTTTTGGAAAAAAAACAACAACAACAAAGCCTTGTGCCAAAAAAAAAAAATTTCAACAAAGCCATAGCTAAATTATTTATTTTGTGGCATGGAAATCTTAATGCCTTTAGCTGTGTAGAGCTAATTGATGGAAATAACTGAAATATATATTGCTTGTTTCCTTGCTTCTAAGAGTTAGTAGAGAAATTTATTTGGATTCTTCATGCAAGATTTGAATTCACTTCATTCCTAAATTCATAATTTTTTTCTAAATTATCCTTATTAATTGTATATATTAAAAAGTTTTTTTAAATGGAATAAGGTGTTTAAATATCTCAGAAGTATCTACAAATTAGCACCTAATACCTAAAAGTTTTTTTAGCTCTTACATGTCCTAAGTTTATTTTCATAGCAAAAGCATCCTAGCCATTATTTGCCGTTAAGTTTTACCAGTGTCTTTAGTGGCCAAATTTAATAATGGATAATGGTTCGGGACAAAAATATCAAAGAATAAAACTTTCATGACATATAAAAGCAACAAAAAAAATTGAGTACTGAATGCTCACTTCGAGGAAATTAACTACTTTATCCTCTTTTTTATTAAAAGGTATTTTTTTTAATGATACTTTAGGAAACAATTTTTATAGGTAACTAACTTGATTAATTTTCTTTATCTCATTAAATTTACTTTTGAGCTGTTACATTTAGTAGTCAGAGTGTGTATCTACTTTTATTAACAAAACGAGCCCTAATGCCCAATGCCCATTAGCTGAATAATGCACATTCAAAGGGATAAATATTGACATGGTTTGTGAGCTGTAACTAATATAAAACAAATAAATAGATCAAAACCCAATAAAGTAGAACATGATGAGCTGGTCCGCCATTTTCAAAACTATTTGTCAGATAATATAATTAATTAATTACAATCATTCTATGAGGCACATACAAAAGCAAACTATCTATAGTGAGCATTTGTTAGATAGTGGTTAGCATCCTGGTACTTATCTTAAATTAAAAGCAGAATACTTTTAAGGGAGAATTAGAACCAAGGACCAAGAAAAAGCAATATTTATTTTAGAGGATCTTAAAATCACAATTATTTTTAAAACACCAAAATTAAAATACAATTTTATCATAGAATTAAAATACAATTAAGTAAAAATACTAAATCACCCATAATTATTCTTCTTTTCCAATCAACTGTCACATCTCACTCTATACAAAGTGAAAAATCATCAAATGTTAGATTTCGGACTATGAGTAACAAATAGTTTTAAATGTTATCGTTTACGATAAGAAAACTTGATTGAAAATTTGAAATAATCATGTTATTAATAATTGCAAATTCTGAGTATGAATAAGAAAAAAGTTGTGTATATAAGCTTAGGGAAGTTCTAACTTTTTGAAAAACTTGTGGGAAAAATGTAATTACATTATTTTAAAATAAATACCTAACAATATAAAATAGTAGGGAAGGAAAGCAGCAACTACTACTACATCAAGGGGTGGAAAAATCACGGAGAGAGATGAGGTGGGATAGAGATAATTTGGCATTTTAGGATCAATATTTTAAATTTGGTCCTTTTAAGTAATTCTAATTTTTATGGTATTTTTATAAATATTTCTTTCTACAGGTCCTTTTTCTAATTCTCCCTACTTTTATCTCTTTTTTATTTTGTTTAATTATATAAGTACAAATCGTCAACTCTGCTGATAATATCTTTAAAAATTATTGAAATAATTTTATTTACTAATCTGGTATTCTTCATACTAAATCTCTAATTTGGCTAAAATTTTTTAAAGTTTAGGACTTGTTTCTTTAGTTTATATTTTTTCAAATAATTATTTGTTTTACTGGGCACGAGTTCAAGTATAATTTAATTAACTATACATAAAAAAATCTTGATT